GATTGTTTGCGCCTTAACAATCGGATAAAGTGAAGAACAAGAAACATTCACTCTATTAAAAATATTTTCAGTATGCATACCCTTGAAATTCATCAAAAGTTGTACATGTGTGCGAGTTTCAGCATCAGTTTTTAGCTTGTAAACCATATCGACGTTAATTCTGGATATTGCAGCCCTTTTATTACGTCATCACGTAATTCGAATTGGCCCTATAATTCGGTCGTGAATAAGTCAATGTCACCCCCACCACCAATAACATAATTATGTTTTTGAATCCTTTAATTTCAGTTAAAATCAGTGTCATGCACGGCTCAACTTGTGTGCAGTAGCACAATTTTGCATTCAGACAATGAGGGACAAAAGTGTTGACACACTTCCGTAAAATGGCCCCTTTTTTGCATAGTGGATATACTTATCCTCTTCCCCTGTCTACCCCAACCCTTTCTCCCCCAAAATCAATGTTGAATTTTGGACCCTCAAGTCTTTTTTTCACGTCAGACAACATTGATTCGGGGGGTGAGGGGATTTACGGCGTTTAAAAAGAATGAAATAATAGATGAATTAAATGTTTGTTAAAAGCACCCGTTTTAAACAAGTGTGTCAACTACTTTTGTCCCTGATTGTCTGAAATGTGTATCTGTGTTTTCCGGCTAGATTTTTGACGCTACTGAATTTTTGTGCGATGACGTTACTCTATGGGCCCAATTGTTTTTTTTAGAAACAACAATTTGCAAAGTTTCGTCCTGATTTGTAGTATATGTAGAGTAAAATGTACGAAGCGTATGTCATTACTTAATCTTGTACTCCCTCGCGCGTTCCTGATACCCTGTGGGGTCGAGAGGAAATCATTTGTGCTGTGATCAATGCCGTTGCAGCGGATGTAATGTTTTCACAAGTATTATCAATAGTGGAAAAAGGATGGAAACACTAAGGTACAATGAAAATTGTTCTGGTAAATAGTTAACTTAAGCGAATGAAGTACTGCAGAGTGACGGAGGGGACATGCATTTTTTCTGACATTGACTTGTGCCATTAGTGAAAGGACGTGAACAATGTACAGGTTATGAACCTCATAAATGATGGGCCAGCCGCTTGTGCTATGCCCTATTTATAGATGTGGTTTTTTTTGGAGACCTTTTCAAACCTAACTGATCCAAACCTTTAGCGTAGGTAGGCGTCGAACAGGTTAGACCAGGTTAGGAATGTACTTTTGTAATGATTTTAGATGACCGCCTGCCATTTATTCAGTGGCATGATTTTTTATTGATGTTGGATGGACAACTCTATTTCATTTCCCAGCTCGTAAATCACAGAATACCAAAGAAATTGTTTTCAAGATAGACACACACCAGTTTGCATCATCGCCAAAACAGCAATTACTTTGGCCCAGAAGTTCACTTGATGACAAGGAAAGCGGGATGACATGTGATCGTTGACGGCCGTGCGCTGGAAAATTTTCCTTTTTTTATGCGCTAATTCCTCGCAAAAGGCAAAAGAAGATTCCGCTATGTAGAAAGTACTTCGCAATACGTATTCTTGGCGAGAAAAATTCCAGCGATGTTGTGCAAATAAGGAGTTTCAACGGTTAACCACGAGAATACATATGGACATTAAGAGGTCATAACAGACTAATGTTACTTTCCGTTTGCCGAAACGTGGTTAACCGTTGTAACACGAAGGAAGCAGTGTTTTCCTCAGTTTGAGCTGTCGTTTTCCTTGAGAGTCAAATACCAGTTCACGTTTCAAAGCTCTCTTTTCATTTTCTCTGCCGACAATAGACAAAAACACAGGGTTTCGCTTGAGAAATACAGTCCAAATACACAGACATATGCGCTCATGTCACGCTATTTGCGTTGCGTTATCATGTCACACAGGGTGTCACGAGGTGGGATTGAAAGTAATTGTTTTTGTGGACACTTGCAATTTTTTGCTACGCTGTCCTTAGTTTTTTATTGAATTGGCCATGAATTTACCTTCATTTTTCCGTAGTTTCGATATTGAACGCAGTGACGGCCGCTCCGCACCAACGCTCCATATTTCCGTGGCCGGCCAGTGACTATCCCCACTACGTGTCAATCCTTAGCCTACCCGTGATTGTTTGCGCCTTAACAATCGGATAAAGTGAAGAACAAGAAACATTCACTTTATTAAAAATATTTTCAGTACGCATACCCTTGAAATTCATCAAAAGTTGTACATGTGCGCGAGTTTCAGCGTCAGTTTTTAGCTTGCAAACCATATCGACGTTAATTCTGGATATCGCAGCCCTTTTATTACGTCATCACGTAATTCGAATTGGCCCTATAATTCGGTCGTGAATAAGTCAATGTCACCCCCACCACCAATAACATAATTATGTCTTTGAATCCTTTAATTTCAGTTAAAATCAGTGTCATGCACGGCTCAACTTGTGTGCAGTAGCACAATTTTGCATTCAGACAATGAGGGACAAAAGTGTTGACACACTTCCGTAAAATGGCCCCTTTTTGCATAGTGGATATACTTATCCTCTTCCCCTGTCTACCCCAACCCTTTCTCCCCCAAAATCAATGTTGAATTTTGGACCCTCAAGTCTTTTTTTCACGTCAGACAACATTGATTCGGGGGGTGAGGGGATTTACGGCGTTTAAAAAGAATGAAATAATAGATGAATTAAATGTTTGTTAAAAGCACCCGTTTTAAACAAGTGTGTCAACTACTTTTGTCCCTGATTGTCTGAAATGTGTATCTGTGTTTTCCGGCTAGATTTTTGACGCTACTGAATTTTTGTGCGATGACGTTACTCTATGGGCCCAATTGTTTTTTTTAGAAACAACAATTTGCAAAGTTTCGTCCTGATTTGTAGTATATGTAGAGTAAAATGTACGAAGCGTATGTCATTACTTAATCTTGTACTCCCTCGCGCGTTCCTGATACCCTGTGGGGTCGAGAGGAAATCATTTGTGCTGTGATCAATGCCGTTGCAGCGGATGTAATGTTTTCACAAGTATTATCAATAGTGGAAAAAGGATGGAAACACTAAGGTACAATGAAAATTGTTCTGGTAAATAGTTAACTTAAGCGAATGAAGTACTGCAGAGTGACGGAGGGGACATGCATTTTTTCTGACATTGACTTGTGCCATTAGTGAAAGGACGTGAACAATGTACAGGTTATGAACCTCATAAATGATGGGCCAGCCGCTTGTGCTATGCCCTATTTATAGATGTGGTTTTTTTTGGAGACCTTTTCAAACCTAACTGATCCAAACCTTTAGCGTAGGTAGGCGTCGAACAGGTTAGACCAGGTTAGGAATGTACTTTTGTAATGATTTTAGATGACCGCCTGCCATTTATTCAGTGGCATGATTTTTTATTGATGTTGGATGGACAACTCTATTTCATTTCCCAGCTCGTAAATCACAGAATACCAAAGAAATTGTTTTCAAGATAGACACACACCAGTTTGCATCATCGCCAAAACAGCAATTACTTTGGCCCAGAAGTTCACTTGATGACAAGGAAAGCGGGATGACATGTGATCGATGACGGCCGTGCGCTGGAAAATTTTCCTTTTTTATGCGCTAATTCCTCGCAAAAGGCAAAAGAAGATTCCGCTATGTAGAAAGTACTTCGCAATACGTATTCTTGGCGAGAAAAATTCCAGCGATGTTGTGCAAATAAGGAGTTTCAACGGTTAACCACGAGAATACATATGGACATTAAGAGGTCATAACAGACTAATGTTACTTTCCGTTTGCCGAAACGTGGTTAACCGTTGTAACACGAAGGAAGCAGTGTTTTCCTCAGTTTGAGCTGTCGTTTTCCTTGAGAGTCAAATACCAGTTCACGTTTCAAAGCTCTCTTTTCATTTTCTCTGCCGACAATAGACAAAAACACAGGGTTTCGCTTGAGAAATACAGTCCAAATACACAGACATATGCGCTCATGTCACGCTATTTGCGTTGCGTTATCATGTCACACAGGGTGTCACGAGGTGGGATTGAAAGTAATTGTTTTTGTGGACACTTGCAATTTTTGCTACGCTGTCCTTAGTTTTTTATTGAATTGGCCATGAATTTACCTTCATTTTTCCGTAGTTTCGATATTGAACGCAGTGACGGCCGCTCCGCACCAACGCTCCATATTTCCGTGGCCGGCCAGTGACTATCCCCACTACGTGTCAATCCTTAGCCTACCCGTGATTGTTTGCGCCTTAACAATCGGATAAAGTGAAGAACAAGAAACATTCACTTTATTAAAAATATTTTCAGTACGCATACCCTTGAAATTCATCAAAAGTTGTACATGTGCGCGAGTTTCAGCGTCAGTTTTAGCTTGCAAACCATATCGACGTTAATTCTGGATATCGCAGCCCTTTTATTACGTCATCACGTAATTCGAATTGGCCCTATAATTCGGTCGTGAATAAGTCAATGTCACCCCCACCACCAATAACATAATTATGTCTTTGAATCCTTTAATTTCAGTTAAAATCAGTGTCATGCACGGCTCAACTTGTGTGCAGTAGCACAATTTTGCATTCAGACAATGAGGGACAAAAGTGTTGACACACTTCCGTAAAATGGCCCCTTTTTGCATAGTGGATATACTTATCCTCTTCCCCTGTCTACCCCAACCCTTTCTCCCCCAAAATCAATGTTGAATTTTGGACCCTCAAGTCTTTTTTTCACGTCAGACAACATTGATTCGGGGGGTGAGGGGATTTACGGCGTTTAAAAAGAATGAAATAATGAAGGAATTAAATGTTTGTTAAAAGCACCCGTTTTAAACAAGTGTGTCAACTACTTTTGTCCCTGATTGTAGTCAAATATACTTTACTGTGAAATCACTATGACGTATTCAGAACTATGAATGAACACTGGATTTGTCAAATACTACACTCCGTGATATTTCACAGGATCTTTTCCCCATCACTGCTCAACACTTCCATGACCAGTTGCAGACTTGCTCTGCGCCTTAGCTCTTTTCTAACCGAACCAGGCCCGGTTGCTGTGTACATTAACTCCACATTTCCTGCTTGGTGTGATAATGATGATAGAGGCCTGGGTACTTAATCCTTTCAACTTCCAACTGAGCATTCACGATGCGGTCCAGTAGGTCCCAGTCTTCTCCACCCCATTTGTACTTGAATTCCTCGGCATTCATTCCTTTCAAAATTAAGAGGCAGTCTCCCTAAAAGCGTTCCACTCGATTTTGGACTCGCAAAAACTTTTGCCTCATATTTTTATCATCAACACTACTATCCATCCTAATAACGAAACTGCAGTTAGAATGAGGAAATTGTTTATTTTACTGCCATTCCCAGCATTTCATTGCTGGACGACCGTTAGCGGCTAAAATATGCAAATTTTAGATGCCGTTTTACAGGTTTTTTAACGATCGTTTAAAAGTACTTCGGGTCATCAAATCCTAGACTATTGCACTCATTTGGAAGTATATTACTTCTTCTTACTGTTCCAATACCATTTAGGCATTATCTTTCTGTAATCAGCAAAAACTGGTCGTCTTTATTTCACTAACCCAATTAAGAAAGCAAGATGCACGAATAAATGCCTCAAAAACATCTCAAAATTCTCAAAAGTGGCACCTAAACTAGAACTAAAAACATGTTTTAGTTAAAGATTAATAGCTATTTTGTCAAGTTATGCAATAAAACTTGTGGCACAACGCGATTCAGAATTGAAGGATTCGACCTAAATTTGCATATTGATGCCGAATTCGCGTGGCGTGACACGGGCCGCAGTGACAGTAAAAAAATTCTTCGTGATCCTACAAAAGACAATTTTTCTGTTTTATTTTTTTCTTGTTTTTTTGTTTCTTTTTTTTTACTTTATCAACAAGAAAAATCGTAAATAGGTTAAGCTTATAGAAGTTTAAGTTTACTTTTCCACTGACCTTCGTATTAATAGTCTCGGCCGGCCGTCCTTTGTTCGACTCCCAGTAGTTGGCCTTCTTATTAGTAGAGTGGGTCAGGAAAAATACGCATTTCTCTCTACCCCACCCCTTCGCCCTTTTCTTACTGGCATCCCTTGGAGGGTCGCCCCCACAGTCTGAACGTCTGGAAGAGGCTATTCGACATACTTCAATCGCGTTCTAACGAACATTTTTGTTTTACAGATAACATTAACGAGAACAATGCTTCTCCTGTCTTGTGACAGGTGGAAGAATTTACATTTTGTAGCTAGAATGTCCTTCACACATTCACCTTTACACTATATGGGACGATGGTACACGGTAGTCCTTAAAGAAAAATTAAGAAAATGTGGACTGGAGTTCAAAGAAGTAAAATCAACAATCCGTTAATTACGTCTACGCCACAATAGGTCTCGTACTTATAAATTCTTATCAAGTAAATTGTTTTTGCCCTTAAAAAAAATGAAATCAGCTGTGAAATGTACATTGAATTAAGTTAGTGTCCGGACACCTTTAGGAATTTGATATTAGTATAAATTCTAAGATGTATAAATCTACCGGCCTTCGATCACAAATCTGATTGTCTATATACAGTGCTAGTGCTATGCTGGTAATGCTGTACTCTATCAATTTCGTGATGGACAGCGAGTGAAGTGACTGAGTAGCCAGGGGTAGCCAGACAGTGTTCGGTTGTAACCTTTTTATACCACCACCGAATAAAACCGTTAGCCTGTCAAGTTGTTAAGCTTGTTATATTGTTATATTTGACTGTTTTAGGGAAATTTGTACCAGATCTTTGTTTACTCGCATGCAATCTCGCTCGTTTTTTGTTTTTGTATTTTTTTCATAAGATTTGTGAAGTATTTGCGGTCTTTATATTCTTTGTCATAGCATCTCGGTATGCAGACATATAAAAGCAATAAGATCCTCTCTGAGTGGCTCAACAAAACTGTCCGCGGTAGGCTGGTGCATCAAATGAGCGCCGCACTGTAGTCGCAAAAACGAAATGATAAACGCGGTGGCGCTTAATTTAGTAAAATCGATATCAATATGAATTTGGATCCACACGGAGGGTCCAAAGGCCGATTTTTAAAAATGTGATCCTAGATCCTTCAGCTGTTGTTCAGATGTATGTATTTTTACATCATTAACGTGGTAGAATGCAAGCGTCTGTAAGAACAGGGTAATAACCGCTAACAAGACGTGAGACGAGAAAAGACGTAAAAACAGTGTAGGGGTCTCGACCTGGAGAAATGTTCATGCTCGGGAAACCTTCGACAATGCCGGATTCAGACTTCACGTCAGTTCTCACCTCTACTGATTGTTCGAATTCAGAGGTTTTTGTCCACGTTGGGCTTCAATAGAAAATTCTGTCAGTGAATTCTCCATGGTACTAAACAATTGTCATGAGTACTCTCAGTAATATGCCTAAAGGTAGGTAATCACGATTTTGGCAATTTAACTCCGACTCCAAATTAGGTTTAGATATGCGCTTATCACTTTCCGTTTCACGCGTGTATCTTGTGATATTCAAATCCGTCAGGTCATAAATAAATGATATCAAATGTGCAAGTGCATCAGCTGACTGTGTAACTTTATGCCATACTGCAACACTGATTAATATCAGGATATTTGACTTAAAGCCACTTCCTACTTTTCTCCATAACTTCATCACTCACTACTGAGTTTATCATTGTCTGAACTTGAAGTTACGATTATGACAATACCCATTGGCCCTTTTGTCGTTATCTTATCACAGATAAAGGAACTAGTGATAAGGATATTAGCAATGATTTTATGATTTTATACGTACGTGATCCCATCCTTTAAAATAGATGGTATACGATCTTAGCAATCTCCACACCAATTACATGCCCGTCCTTGGTCCTAATATTCCTTTCTTGGTCCTCTATACGAGGTGTCCGCCAAAATCGTCCGAGTTTATATGCCGATATTTGTCGGTAATCGCCGGGAGGACTTTCATTTAAAAGTGAAGGGCTGCTCGTCGGAAAATTAATAACTTATTATTTAAACCCCTAAGGGAGGCCAATGTGGGTGTGGCTCAAGCTTAAACTGACCCCTAAAGGAGATTTCTGTGAGGTCAGCGTCACCGCGTTTTTTTTTTTTTTGGCAAATTTCTTTATGCACAGCCTTAAGCGATACCTGGATGAGCATATTTAGGTACTTTCCGTCCCAAACAACCGAAGTGAGACCAAAATCTGCAAACGACGAGCACCCACGTCACTTTTGCATGGGAGTCCTCCTGGGGAAGCAGATCACCATCTGTTTCACTTGATTTTTCGTAAGGTCAATGATTACCATCTTTTGAGAGTACTGGGTCGGCTTCACTTAGTTCAGACTTCGATGGATGACAGGTTTCATGGTAAGAAGTAATGGTGTCCTGACAATCGTGTACTTTTATCAGTTGGGAAAAACGCGTGAACTTCCACACTTTATTTTCTTGTTACTTTCACTGATGTTGCACGATTCGAAATTAATGTTGAAACTTTATTATTTGCGTGTGCCAACTTCTTTATTAACTGGCTGCGATACAAAAGTAGCCTTAGACTCCAGACTGTCTCTTGGAGCGTGAAAACAAACGCTGACCACTGTTAATAGGAAGAAACAGTCAGGAAATGGAAGAAACCTACTAATTGAAATTTCATTAACAAAGTCTTCAAATATGGGCTCCTGATCAGTGGAAGGTAAATAAAGGGAAAATTGTAAGTCGTCGTTCACAGTCCAGTACTATCGCCCCATGTTAGCGAATACAAGACAGTCGTGGATTCTGGATCCCATTCCATGGATTCAGGATTCCGGGTGCTGGATTCCAGTCTTTTCCGGTGGAATTTCATTCCTTAGTAGGGTGCTTGAGCTCTATTCTGGATTCCAAAGCCCTGGATTCCGGATTTCATATCAAAATTTTCCCGGATTCCGGATCCTACAAGCAAAAATTTTCCAGTTTCCGGAATCCGGATACCCTTACGTGGGGCGAAGTACAAGTCAAACATTTTCTGACCTGTTCACGCATATTTAATCAAGCAGTGGGAAATTTACTTTTCTTCTAACGTTCGATTTTATAATATGATGGATCGGAGTAACTTCTGGTCAATGCAGCTTTTTCAGACTGGACCACATTTTAAGCTAGAAGAGGTTTGGTTCTGAAAAGGTATTTTTCCGTCTTGACACAACAGACTTAACACGAATGTTCGGGGCAGTGGGAATATTAAATGAAGCTTGGAAAGGTATCTTTTACTTGCTGAACTAATTTTTGAACAATATGTATCATTGGCAAAGGGAAAAACGGAATTTTAATATAGTTTTGGTGGGAAAGTGAGGCATATCTTACTTAAAAGTGGCAAGTATTTCAATAACTGAGGATTTTGTTGTGACAGCAGCCGGTATCGTCACGCAACGCAAATTGAACATTTGCCTAAATTTGAGTTGAAACCTTCAATTCTGAATCGCGTTGTGCCACAAGTTTTATTGCATAACTTGACAAAATAGCTATTAATCTTTAACTAAACCATGTTTTTAGGTCTAGTTTAGGTGCCACTTTTGAGAATTTTGAGATGTTTTTGAGGCATTTTCTCGTGCAGTTTGCTTTCTTAATTGGATTAGCGAAATAAAGACGACCAGTTTTTGCTGATTACAGAAAGATAACGCCTAAACGGTATTGGAACAGTAAGAAGAAGTAATATGCTTCCAAATGAGTGCAATAGTCTAGGATTTGATGACCCGAAGAACTTTAGAACGATCGTTAAAAAACCTGTATAGCAGAGACTAAAATTTGCATATTTTAGCCGCTAACGGTCGTCCAGCAATGAAATGCTGGGAATGGCAGTAAAATAAACAATTTCCTCATTCTAACTGCAATTTCGTTATCAGGATGGATAGTAGTGTTGATGGTAAAATTATGAGGCAAAAGTTTTTTCGAGTCCAAAATCGAGTGGAACGCTTTTAGGGAGACTGCCTCTTAAGCAGTTAAAAGTTACGATTGTACTCAATGACAAGACAAACGGCTACAACTCTCTTATCTTGCAATTCCCCCCCTCCCAAATACAAACCGCTATTGGACTTTCAGGACATGGATCACATAACAGCGCTCTCACGATGCGCCGGTGCAAACAAATAAAATGTGTGACTCCAATCGTAACAATAAATCACACTGTTCTATTTGATCCAAACTTTACATGCTTTATTGTATTAGAACTACTCGCATGTTATACCGATATACCGAGGAAAAATACTGACTTAATGTACATAGAAACGTGCGAGGCGAGTGTACGTATTAAACAAATCTAATGTATTGAAAACGAATACAACGTCAACGGACTACTTCTATGCGAAAAATTGGAAGGTCGCCAGTTAAATCTTTCCGCGCGTTAACCTCTGAAATATGTTTTACGAATAGCCTTTGTTCTTACTGATCATCTCACCTGACTAACTGTGGTCGAGCCTTCAAGCAAGTCAGAGCGTCCCGGAGAGTTTGCTAGCAGGCTAACTGTAGTTTAAATAATTAACAATTAATGAATAAGGCTGAGTATCTTATGAAGAATTATGGAGATCGAGGAGGGTGTTATCCGTCGAGGCCTTAGGCCGAGGCGGATAACACCCTCCGAGATCTCCATAATTCTTTTATATGATACGAAAGCCGAATTCAATAACTGTTTTAGTATTCAGTCAAAATAATTCCTAGTTGAAAAACATGGCTTAAACATGCTGACCTCCATCGATCCATCGATGTTAAGTTCATCTTCGATAGTGCACGTTTAGGTTTGTCCAGCTCCGCAAATATTCTCCGAATAGCAGATGTCGCCCTTCGAGTTGTCTTCTTACTGTTCTTGCCATGCTTTTAGTTATTTTTTCGCATAGTTCTTACTCTTGAAGCGAGTGAAATGTCCGCCATTTTTCAAGTTCACAAGCAAAACAACTCAACCTCGTCCCCAGGTCTTCTCGGTTAACGGTGCCTTAACCTGCACGAACACTGCATTTTTGACGTCATTTCCTCGTTAAACACAAAATTCTTCCAAATTTGGTCATCAGAAACTGGTTATGGTGAATTATGCGTGTGCTTTTAGCCAATCAGAATCGGGGAAATATTTTGAATGAATAATAATAACTGATAAGTTTAACAGGGAAATTCCTTGGATCTTTCTACATATAGCCTGCGTCGTAGACATAATCAATCCACGGTTAGTAAGGTCTGCGAAACAGCGCCGAAACCCTTGTTCATATCGATATGTCAACGGGCAGATCGATATACAACAGTGTACCTGCATTTGAGTACCCGTCATAATTGGCCTTTTAAAAAAGTCAGACGGTAAAGTTCCGAAAGTAACGACCCTCGTTACTTTCGGATTAGCAACCTTTTCCTATCGCTACTTTCGGGTAGCTTAAACCTGTATTGTACATGGGCCGTACAAAGTTATAAAAATAACATCGCGACAATTGTGAAAACATCCACACGTTTTATTAGGGGAAACTTATTTTTATGTTATTATTTTTTAAATAAATATTCAAAAGAATTGTTTGATTACGGGGTGGATATTCGTAGACGAAAGGAGGACGTTTTGAGCATAAAAAAAAGATGTACTGTGCGTTTTGAGTTACATAAGGGAATGTCAAAGATCATTATACCCGTCAGTTTCGTAAAGCTTGTTGTAACAGCACTATGATTTTCGTTATTTCTAGCTGAAGAAGGGAAATCACTTTTCAAGTCGCTACTTTCGGAGGGTCGCTACTTTTGGCATTTGCTAACACCTATGAAATTTTATCCACTATTTTCGGGGCGTCGTTACTTTAGGAACTTAACGATAGTCGATTTGCCAGTAAAGTTGAAAGGAAATTCAAAACGCATTTCCGCTAAGTTGTTGAGTCCGTTGTGGGCCAAGAACAAAGACCTCGGCGAAGAAACGTTACTTACCTACCGAGGTTTCATCACGTCTGCAACGCAGGGTATCTACATAAAGTCATGTAAAAAATACACTTTATCGTCTAGTAACTCAAAATGAAAATTTGGCTCTCTGCAGTTCTCTTATTTTTGGATCGGAGCCAAAAAAATGTTCAAATGTATGTCACGTGGTTCAGCAGGGACGGTATTAAAATAACGATTTTCTTTTAACTTACCGCCAAAACGTATCCAGTCCGATTTATATACAGCAAGAAGACCATAACCGTATATCTCCCAATGGCCTTGATGATCAATATATGTACTTTGACAGTCTAAACGTCCCACTGTGGGAAAGAAAGCGATTCTTCCTTCTATGGTGTTCTGTTGAAAATAAGGAAACTAAACTTGATCTTGATACTTAAACGTAACAAGAATTCTGACAGTGTGGTCGGAAGGAATTTGGTATAACCCATTTTCCAACAGAAATGACCACAACATTTTCAGTACTCTAAAATGCAACAGACACTCGGCATTTAGATTTTTGGCTACGAGTAGGCAAAAACGCTATATCAGTATTTCGAGACAAAATAACAAGTTATCCGCAAAAGAAGTCAGTGTATCTTGTTATGGAGCGTTTTCACTCACGAGGCAAACATCTTTGGTAATTTATTGAAACAGAATAAAAGGCGTTTTCATGAGAAAAGAGTTCAACGTCCACAGGATTGTCTTGGTACACCAACGTGCAATGGCCGCGGTTTCATTGTTTTGCAACACCAATATGGCCGCTGTGACTCCAAGGGAAAACGATCTACAACAACACGTGTCAACTCACCTTTCGCACGCTGTCCAGAATGTCAACGGGCACATCGATATGAAGATCAAACAAGAACAACAGATCATGCGCACTTGGTACTTGCTCTACAGCTTTGTTCAGTGCCAGGGTCTTGTAAAATTTACCGGTCAAGTTGATAATAGTGTGCCTGCTCCTCAGAAGGGCAGTGTCGAACGCTTTGGCAAAGTCGATATCTTGACTTTCAAAATCAGCAACAATAACGTGGAAGTTCTTATCACCCGTTAATAAGCTGGCAACCGTGAGACCATTGATGAAATGATAGACCCATCTTCCCTGATCTTTAACAGGGAGTATTATGTAAACGGTGACGTTTCTGTTCCACTCGATTCCCTTGGGAAGACACAAACTGTTTGTTCCCTTTTTTTGATACACGTGCTCAGAGAAGCGATATGATTTCTCAGTGTGAGGAAGGCCAAGTTCCAGATCAACGGAAAAACGGTCCCCATAAACCGGATCTGGTTTTTGTAGAACTTTGTGAATTCTCTTCAAAGTGTAGTTCCTGAAAGAAAAAGAAAAGGTGAAAAAAAAGCTAGAAGAATTTGTAAACAAAGGGATCATCAATCAAGCATCGATGCCCGGGGGGGGAGTCCGCATATGAAAGGGGTGGGGATGCTCGTCGGAAATGTTGAATTAAACCCCTTAAGGAGACCGATCTGGGCGTGGCCCAAGTTTTTTTGACCCCTAAAAGAGACCATGTTAAAACACAGACAATATGGATTTTTTTATATTTTTTTAAGTGCAACCCTAAACGAAATATGATGGCGTTTTGCCCAGAACACCCTAAGTCAGACCGAAATCCGAAATTTACACCCCTAAGCGAGACGAAGAGCATCCCCACCCCTTTCATATGCGGAGTTCCCCCCACCCCCGGGCGTCGATGTAAGAATTATTGTTACTTCAGCGCAGAATACTTGTCAAGGAAAACATGCTATTGCCTTGTGTTACCACAAGCATTATGATCGCATGCGAGAAAGGCATGCAGCCGTTGCAATGAATGAAGTGTCAGGGGATTGAAAAAATTGGGGCCTGTTTTTTTATGATTTACTTCAAGCATGTGCTCTTTCATGGCCTGTTGCATTTCTGACAGGCGATCACGTACACAAATCGGATTTGACCAGTTCGCACCTTCGGCTTGTCAACAAGAGATCTGGGATACGAGATTATTGTCACAGAAAGGAGTTGACGTGACTTCTAGTGCTCAATTTGCCGCTCTGCCACTGTTTGATAAGGATTTTGAACTGCACGCGCCATCGTTACCGTCGTCGAGTTAATTTCGTGCCCAGATCTCTCGTCAACAAGAGATCTGGGTACGAGATAATCGTAGCGTTGAATTTGCTTCATCTATCTACTGTCATGCGACAACGTCTAGATATGAAAAGGCCTAGTGAACACATGCAAGGGCAATGAGTGAACATTCTTGTTCATTTTCTTCGTGCCTTTTAACTTCGCTGTCAGCTTAAAATGTCCGACTGAACGCTTTTTTCTTATCTCTTTTTGTGCGTCGCGTGGTGGAGTTCCCCCATCAGTGTTGGCAGACTGGTTTTTGTAGTAATACCGGCTAGCACCTTGAAAATGAAGCGTCTCCACCGAAATAAATAAATTTAAGCCGCACCGGTAGGCTTTAATACTTATAGCACTGAAGAACACATACCAACTCCGCGGTCTCATGTGCTGGGCGGTGGGCAGTCTTACACCAAATAGTACCCGGATTTACTGTGTTTTGGCTACAGGGTGGGCGCTTATTCGGGGGAGAGCGCTTGTTAGAGCATGGGCGCTTATCAGAGGAAATACGGTATATCTTAAAACATTTAACGAGATTTTCATTTAACTTACTTTGAGGAACTGAGACGAAGTGCAGCAACCAGGCTATGCACGACTGACCGAATGACCTCGCTGTCGGCGACTCGATTTGGACTGCCCCACCTCCCCAATTCGGGGGCGTTTGACATCTGCGTATCGTCTGGTGGGAAAACACTGGATTCAAACACCATTGTCACGCCTTTATTGCGATGAACTTTAGTTCTTGCTACAAAACTACTATTGTAATAGCAGGAAGTTAGAAAATTAGCTTTCGAAATGAAAGGCAGAGAATAAAACTTGACAAATTTGCTGCTGATTCGGTCGGATTGTTTTTGAAACTCTTGCTGATATCGCTGCGAAAGCACATTGTGGAGGGCTACTTTTTTCTTAGTTATATGCGTTGTATTCTGCAAAAATGGCGAGAGGTATTGTGAAGTGATGAGTCTTAAATCTTCATCTTTGTCAGATATAGTCCAAAATACACGCACGAACCCTTTGTATATGCCTTGTTGGTGTAAAACCTCGACGTAGTATTTCGTATTAGCTTGAAGATAGAGTGGCTTTTTGGTTTTCTGTTCAGGATATTTATCTAACTCGTCCTTACGAGTCCAAGCTATTTCTTTTTCACTAAACACACGAGCAACTAGTCGTTTATTTTCGGGATATTCGTCTGTACTTATCCATAACTCCGAAGTGTCGTCAGAGGCGATCGCAAAACGATACAAACCATTACTTTGTGGATGTAAATATCCAAAGATTTTCTGACCGTAGTCCACGCTGTCGTCTTCAACCTGAAACTCGTTGATGAACTTCTCCTGATCAGGATATTTTGGAAAGAACAGTGACTTTTTTAAATATGCAACGTTTGAACCGCATTGCATTCGCCAAACGTGAACATTAAGAACTGCGTTTGACACAGGTACTGCAACAGTATTCTCGTCGCCATAACGGAGATCCTGTTGGCCAGCGCCACTGATCATCCCTGGAAACGCGGAGAGTTCCTTAACAGTATTGTCGCTATGTCTTCCCCAAAATTTACTGAAGAATAGAATAAACGAGATCAAGCATGCAGTTAGTGCGAAAATCAAACGCTTTACAACTTTTTTAAATCTTCGGGGCGTAAGAAGGCGTCGGAGATACATAACTCAGAGTAATAATGTTAGAGGTGTTACAACTTGGATCGAGTGTTGCCCAGGACCCCGCTTGTGATACAGTCCACAGTCAAGTCAGTTAACTGAACCAGCCAGCTGTCATGGCATGGAATGACACTATAAAAAGACAGTTAATATAAATCAACTTTAAAACTTAAAAAAAATTTACTTTCTTCACTGTTTTAGATCTTCGGATATGTACAGTGTATATAAACATAATATACACCTAATTGCAATAACGGCTGTGATAGAAAAACGGAAAAGGGAAAAAAGGAAACGTGACTTAATAAACCACTTTAGGGTCCATAAATTTGCAACATACCCGTCCAATGGAACAGGGCGCATAGGACTTATTTGTGAACTGACCTTGATTACATTGAAATCTTACAGTTGATAGAGATAGCGCGATTCGTCTTGTTTACTGTAGAATTAGACTCGAATACAGTCGAACCTCTCATACGGACACCGAAGGGACAGAGCGAAGTGTCCGTATTAGAGAGGTGTCCGTATAAAAGAGGTCACTATGATAACGTCGCTTTTATTACTCCACTTACAGTTTTAAGAGTTCAGTAGCTAGAGCCAGTATCACCCTCGTCTTTAAACCGCATTAAAAGTTATTAAGACAGAATCCACCAGGAACTGAGTAATTTTAATTTTCAGTGGACAAAAACCTTGTACCAGAATAATTTAACGAATATTGCATTCTTTTTTACATTTCTCAAGGGCTAAAGATTTAATTAGTCATTTGTAATAACACCAAAGAAAATTTATCATGGGAGTCCGAGAAAATGATTTTCAAATTTCACAAGAATTGTGAAAAGACATGTAAAATTCTGAAAATTTCATGTGTAAGATGTAATTTTGTGAAATTTGACATTCATTTTCTCGGGCTCCCATAAGAAATTTTCTTTGGTGTTATTACAGATGACTAATTACATCTTTAGCCCTTGAAAAATGTTAAAAAGAATGCAATATGCTTTAAATTATTCTGGTACAAGATTTTTGTTTGCTAAAAATTAAAATTACTCAATTTCCTGGTGGATTCCGTCTGGCTTTTATCGTTTGCGAAGTCGTTCGCGTCTCTTGTCTATGTTTGTACGTTTGTTTTTACAAACAAACCAACTACGCGACAGAAAAGAGACGCGAACGACTTCGTAAACGTCAAAAGTCATGCAAGAGAGAAACCTCTGCTCACAGGGTAAAATGGATGGAGCCTAAAGGGGTTTATAAGTGATTAGTAAACCTAATTAATTCTCATTTGGCTTTTTCGTTTTTTTCATTTTTCTTTTTCGCATTTTTCTGAGATAACGTACGTTATTGGCAATTAGATGTATATGAAATGTATTATAAACCACTCAGCGATCTCAGCATTTTGAGCAATCTGATTGGCTCGCCACCTCAAGCTATTTTGCATTATTATTCATCCAAAATGTTCTACCGTTTCTCATTTGCTCCTATCCCCCGGCTTATTCTTCATAACCATTTGGCGCTTACCATATTTGGAAGATGAGAGCAATATACCATCGATTCGACGGTATAGGACTGTTCATATATCACGGAATGAACAAAAAAATTTGAAATCGTTCAATGAAAGAAGCCAGTCAAGAAACTGAAATATTATAGAAGACTCTAAAACATACAACCTATCGAAGTCTCAAGTCTGTGCGGTGCACCATTTGTTGTTGTTGTTGTTGTTTTTTCCCCAAAAAGTTTCACGCAATTTTGTAAAGCTTTTTATGGAGACGCCGTGCTGGTGTACAAACATGGGACACCAATATGGCGGCCGAAAATCAACACAGACATCTGGCTTTCACTTCTGGGATAAAAATGCCTTCTTTTTTCTTGTTAGCTAATTTACATGTGCATAAACACAATTTTCACTGCTTAAAATCTTTAAACTGGTGAAAGTCACAGGGACCGAGAGAGCTTTTCTTTAACCAGACGTCTTTGCTAAATCTCGTTCCCGGATTCTCTCTCTTGCTTCGAGAAAGAACCCTGGTTGCGGCTGGTCACGTGGAAATGCGTGTCAATAAATTGCGCAGCGGAGGTAGGTCCTCCCCTAAATTTTGTCGACTGGGCAATGAAATACTATCTGGGGTAGGGAGAACATTCTTGCTTCAAAATGAAGCTTGAGTTTCTGAGCGTTGCTTTCTGCTAGTTACCATAACACTAAATTTGGAAGGAGAAAAAAGTTATTTGCTTAGAGAGTTTGAAATAGACCTTTTTACCGATACGGCGGCCATATCATCCTCGGAGACCCAGGGGCAGTCAGTCGGGGAGGAGAAAAGGCGGGACGAAAGTTTTCATGTACCGGCGAAAGAGCCCCTGGGTACCGACTCTCGCCGAACTATTTCCAAAAAAATCAAGCGGATGCCGGCTCCTGATTGGGCACAAAAAAGTGCTTTGTATTATTGTGCCCAATCGGCGAACAGTTTCTCCTGAGTTCTTTTCGTGAGTTCGTACAATTTTCATACATTTCCCGAAAAGAGCACCGCTAGCATAATTTGCTTTTCTAGCTAGTTTTGCCGCGCAAAATTGTCATTTATTGATCATGTAACCAGCCTTTTTTGACCCGAGATAAGGGTTACGGGCAAATTTAAGTAACAAAATGAGTTGCTGGCTGTTTATTGTCGCATTCATGGCACCTGCGTCCCACAGGAAGTGACCTTGGACCTTTCCACAGGACTCAACGCATGCGCATATCTGACTTGCTTTGTTGCATAAGATGGCGTCCGTGTGCTGGTTTTTTTGGTTTGAATTTTTATAGTTTTGAGAGAATGAATTATGCACTCTTAAAGTTTCTAGATGTAAATAGGGTAATTGGGTTTGCCATTTACTTGTTTGTTGCATATTGAGGTATTTTTGCCAAATTTAAAGTAAAAAGTTGAAGCATTTTTTTCTGCATATTTTGCTAAATGAGAATAATTTACAAAAACTGGCATAATTATTGGTAAAATTTTAGAAATATAAGAGCACTGCTAGTAGCATATTATACTACTTTTTCCGAGCACAATCCATCAAAGCCTAACTGCACGACTACGTTTCTACCTGGGAGCCTGGATCCCGGCGTATGTAGTTAATCGAACGTGCGGTTATCGAACTTAATCGAACTTAGTGGATTGATTCAATTTTGGAAGCAAGGACCAACGTTGTGTTGCCAACATGGCCTTTCTTCTTCAGGGTCTTACATACAAATGACTTGGTAAACTAGCTAAGACGTTATACTAGGCACTTTACACACTATTCCCCGACGTCCCTGGGACGAGACCCTTTTTAGTATGATGGCGAGAGTGATGCTCGTCAACTTCTTGGCGAAAACAAAAACAAACATGGGCAAAATTGCGGCTGAGTTGCTGGAAAACGATAGATAACATGAAAATAATAAGATTTCACAGCTTAAACTTTACCAGTAAGGTAAAAGGATATCCACCGCCCGTAGGGAGGGGAGGGGGGGCTGCGACAGGTGCTCTAGTTTTGACATGCTGGACCCAGCTTTTTTGCTTGAAGGAGATGAAGATAAACATTGTTCGTTTTTTGAGTAGCCCTTTGTCTTTGAGCATAGTGTAAAATATCTGCTGTTTTCTGTGGCAAGAAAGTAATACTGCCTCCTCCTTAGATCGCACCTCCCAATAAAAAAGCCTGGCTACGGGCCTGATATCTGTTTCAAACAACAAAACTGTGGGAAGAGCTGGTCGCACTAACAGAGAAATGAAAAAACCCAGCGACTGGAGCCAAAAGAAGAAGTAAGCTTAAGTTTGAAAATGGTAAATTTTGTTAAAATGTCAATATTTGATTCCCTAAAATTGCAAACTTATTATTCTATCATTTTACTCTTGTGTACATCTGTAAAATGGAGTTTAAACTGCTTAATAATGTCATCTGTGTTCAACTTCTAATCAAGTGAAATGTGCATAAGTCGATCGTTTTTTTTTTTTTTTACATGTGACTGAATGTTTCGATAAACAATGTGAGCTAAATGTATAATTAATAAGCTTATACCTTTCAAGTCTTCTTTGTTCATTCCGATTTAACTTCCTTACAGTGCAATGAATGTACGTAGAACTTCAGCCCCATCCTGATAGATATTAGGGAGTTTTAACAACGACGACGGCGACGGCAACGAGAACGTCAAAACACCAATAGGCATGTTTAGTTAAGGTAAAAAAAACCACTGCAAAAACCGTGTGCGAACAATCTTGCTCAACGTCGGATCCAAAAAGATCGTGATCAGTCAAAATATATAAAATTGAAAATGTTATAGCCAAGAAGACTTTTGCAGGGACTGATCAAACAACGTGAAATAGAGTTAAGTTGCGATATTTCGACTGGCCAATACCAGTCTTCATCAGGTTTATTGAGATATCAGGAATTTACAGAAATATACAGCAATAGGTATATTAAGCAAAACAACAAGCTTGCACGTGCATCACGCTTTTTTTACATTCCTTTGCCCTTACTGCACAACTACGACGTGAAAATGCCTAATTTCACGTTTTATGGAAGACGTAAACAAGCGACGACGAAATTTTCTTTCAGTCTTTTTAAACTTGAGTGCGGTCTCCAAGAAATCAACTCCGGGGAAATTACTCTACATTAGACATTTTCGGCGAATTGGAATAATTAACGCGACAAAGTTTGAAAAAACGCTATTTCATTTTAAAAGTGACGTTTTCGAGCTTTTTCGCTGCCGTCGCCGTCGTCGATGCTTAAACTCCCTGTTTATTTACCGAACGTAGTACTTGCTCGGGCTATTTAAAATACACAAGATTTTTCATCCGCGGTTAGAAGATGTCTACTGAAAAGTACGTGTTTTAGGTTAATTGCATTTCTTGGACAACTGCGTCCTTTCTATGAAATTTATCCTTAAAGAGGTCATGAAACTCTTCAGACTCTTGTCATATGAACATTTGATATTCAGTGATCATACATAAAGGATCTAATGACTCTCCTTTGCTGCTTATGGCATTTAAAATGGCGGAGCGAGGTTTACT